AGCTTCCCAGGGAGGGGGGTCCCGCAGCACGCAGGGATGCTCCCCGCCACGGTAAGAGCGGTCCGGCTCACAGCAGGAGACCAACTCCCGGTGCTGCTACCAGCACCCGTGCGCGGCAGCACGGGGCTCTGCACGCCGGCCGGGAAACAACAGTAGGAAGTTTTGAGCCGTAATGGATCACCAACGCGCACTGCTACACACAGACACGCTCGTGCACCTGCAGACTGCGCCCAACACCACAGAGCATCTTCCCACCGCTCCTCAGAGGGACGCTGCCACCGGGCGGGAGCCCTGCCGGGGCATGACCTGCCGCAGACAGACGTCCCGGTGCTAAACACCTCCACATGGTGGGGAGGCAGTTCGTAAGATACCGTTCTCAACAGCAATGGGAAACACAAAATCTTCCCTCTCGTTAGCGAGGATGTGCTGGGGACAGCCCCGAGCCCATCGGTGGTCACAGGAGATGGGGGCAGATGGGGACCACGGGAACATCTCGGTCTGTTCAATGTTAAGACCTGCTGTAGGGACAAGCCACGCTTCTAAACAAAATTATTTATAATTCCTGAATGTAGTCCCTCGCAAAGTGGCATAACAATGACTAAAATATTATAAGATTCATTATAGGGTTACACGAGGGAATGGTCGTGGTTATTAGTGCAAATTACTATAAAAGTAGGAAAGTGCAAAAGAGATTACAGTTTGAATTTCTCAAGGGGTATTTGGGGGGAGCAGCTCAGGGAAAAAAAAAAAGGTGCTAGAGAAAATGTTAATTAACTTTCCCTTTCAGTTTATATTCCATGCATTAAGCTTTAGGTTGTTACTAGAAATGAATTTAAAAAATAAATAAATAAAAAAATCAGTAATTCCCCCAAACTAGAAGCATCGATTAGGAGAGGCTAAACGTGGTGACTGGTATTGAACATCCTTGAGCTTGAAAATTCCTACAAGCTTATGAACTTGTGCTTTAAGTGAGGGTTAGCGGGAACATCAGTAACCTCTCCAGAAGCCTAAGCCTCCCTAAAACCCGTCTCAGCATAACCTCTGTTCTTAAATTTGAACAGGACAAATCTACATTGAGGGAAAAGCTCACCAAAACGAGGGGGTGGTTTGTTTGGGGTTTTTTTGGGGAAGGAGCATACTGTTTATAAACCTCACAAAGCCCCGTACACCCCCAGCCCCTGGCTCAGCCGCCTGTACCTCCAGCCTGCTCAAACCTACACCCCCTCAACAACCACAAAAAACAAAACCAGTGCAAAAATACTGAGCTCAGTGAAAAGCCGGGGCACACGGACCATAGTGTCTCATGCCACGAGACATGCGCGGGAGAAGATTTCGAGTGTTCCCAGGGCAGGAGCTGTGACCCGAGAGGCGCAGCGGAGCCAGAGCAGTGTCCGGCTGTGCAGAGCATCCTCCCCCCGCAGCCCTCCCCAGCTGGGTGCCAAAACCGCCTCTTCCCCAGGGCCGCGCAGCAATCCTCGGAGCCTCCAGCAGGGAAACTGAAAAAACACAGCCTGAACATCCACCACCGCGTAAGACCGACCAAGCGGACAGGAAAAAGCAAGCGGCATTTACAACTAAGAAGAAGTTACTGATGGTGGTTCCACTGGCGTCTGAAGGAAGGTTAAACAAAGAAAAAGGGAGGGCAGAGCACGGAGGGGCCGCAGCGGAACGCGGGCTGTGCCGGCGAGCCCCCTGCCCAATTCCATGGGCATGCCCCGATGCCCGCGCACTGCCCAGCCAACCCTCCCGCAGACGGCTCCTAGCCCTGCCCCGAGAGCAGGTCACCAACGGGCCTTACACCAAAAAGCACGCTTTTTTTTTTTAATTTCACAGCGCGACTTTGGTCCAGCATGGCTCCTGACCCGGGGGAGCTGCTGCACAGACACCAAACTCCTCCACCGCACAATCCAATTCACAGGGAAAGAAGCCCCAGGAACAGCTATCAGGTAGACTTCAAGGACATAGACACTTTCAAAGGATAATAAAGACAAATAGTGCACAGGACTGAATTTAAAATAGAAGAAAAATTCCTAGAGCCCATTGTGACCACTCCCCCCATGAAGAATGCCTCCATCACAGGCCAAAAAACCTAATGTGTTTTAAAAGTGGCTTAAGAGAAGTTAATGGTGTCCCTTGCTCATCTTGCATTTCGTATGGCAACTGATCAAGCTTCCCCTAATGAGTCTCACTGAATCAAGACTGCTGCCAACGAACATCCCAGGCTTTGCCATCCAGGCGGTTCCTTTACCCCGCTCGGCACTCTCCTTTGGAAACGGGAGCAGTTTCTGTTTTAAAATGACTTCCTTCAGTTATTTCAGTGTTATTTTAAAAACACCTCTCTGTGTTTCTATGTTCACAGCTGGAGCTCGGGCAGGCAGTGCTGTGGCCGTGCAGCTGCATCCCACCGCGAGGAGCGGATGCTCAGGAATAATTTGGAGTTCCTCAGCTTGCTGTACCCCAATCCGGCAGGTCACCCTGGACGACAGCTGTCACTTCACGCTTTGATACGTTCTTCTTGTTGTTAATTGTTCCAACGCACTGGTTTTAATGCATATTTTAGCACGCTACGGTTGTTCACAAACATTTGATTCTTTTTTCTCGGAACAAGAGCTAACGGGGTCTGTAAGTGTCAGGAGCTCTGCAAAGACGGACCGGACCATTCCTCCTGAGCACCTTCCCGAGTGCTAAAGCTATTCCAAGAAGTTCCTCTCACCTGCACAGTTTAAATACTTTTGAAAAAAACAGGCCTATATCAGCATACTATTTAAAATTACTTTCACTCCACTACCATTGACTTCAGACACCTTATTCTGCAAATTCAGTAAGAGTTGATTTCAATGGATAAAACACTTCCTTTTCCTACTTATAAAAAAATAATCTTTGATCGTTCCTTTTTAACATAAGGATTTTTTTCAAGTTACGTTCTACAAGAACAAATGCCGGATCTTACGTTTGCAAAGCTTTTGATACTCAAGTCAGCATCACACTTTGGATCATACAGTTGCACCAATTACCCCTCGAACAGCTCAGGAAGAGCACATCTGCTGAGCTCCCCGGTGTGGGTTATGCAGTTGAAGCAGGTAACAATTAAATCTATGAGACGACTTCGATTATATCTCAGAAAGCATAGTGGGGAAAAACCTACTTGACATCTAGTAGAAAGATTCTCCACCATTCAGCTAACAAACCATGCACGGACTTGCATCATTAACGCAAGCAGGAGGGACTAAAAGTTACGCAAACAGGTAAATTGCATTAGAGCCTATTTACGGGGCAAATAACATCCATAAAGAGTCCGTAATGTCCTAGAGTGTGTGTCAGGATGAAACATGGAGTACTGATACTACTGACCATCCCACTCTGTAAAAGTTTAACCCATTCTTCCATGTAAAAGCCCCAACTCAAGAGGTTTCATATCAAAGATTGACCTTAAACACCGTAATTAGCTAACCGCTTACTTCCACGGAGCTGCACGGGCTACAAATTTTTGCAAAGTTTCGCTACTCTGGGCTTAATTTCTGTGGATCATTTAGATTTAGAAACATTGAAAGAACCATATTATTATGAAGTGCAGAATTTTGGCTATTAAAAATATTAGAATTAGAATCAAATGCGTGGACCACAGAGTGGGGCTGAATTCACAAAATGCCAGAAGACCAGTGAATTTGAAAAAACGCCCCACCTTTTACAGCTTGCAGTATTATGGAAACACGATAAGAGATGTTAATGCCTTTCACCAACCTGGTGCTACTACAGCAATCCATATGAAACCTCCGAGCAGGCTGTATTGGCTTCGTGCAAGGACATCACCGCTTTAAATTTACATTTTAACAGGTCCCTAGACCGTGACAGACAGCAGCAAGCACTGATCCAGTCCAGAGTGCAGGTACATTCGAAACATTAATTTTAAGCGCCAAAAGCCAATAGAAAGGGCATTAATCTCCTGAAGGGACGGGCACTGCTCCAGCACGCGGCCTCAGCCGGAGCTCTGCCGCTCCTGAACGCCGGCACCGACGTGGCTGCCCGTTGCGTGGGTGTCCCCAAATCCTCCGACGCCACGAGGCGGCTGCGCGGTACGGCGCTGCAACAAGAAATGGACCTTTCTGCCAGGTTTCAACTGTTTTCCAAGAATTAATTTTGTTAAAGCTTCCTCCTAAAACATCAAAAGGCACTAAAAAAAAAAGTTACCAACGACAGATTGGCAAGATGTTTTTAAAAAACATATACTTTCTCAGTTTAGGTAGAATTTCTCCCAGTCCATCCCTACATATCTATCAGAAAAGTATTGCCTCTACTATTTCTCCTACTAACTGTTAAAAATTGTCCCTTGATCGATATGTTCCATGAGCAAATAAACAGAGTAAACCAACAGCAAATCCTAAACTATAATATTGTATATGAAATCAAGACAATAAAAATAAAAGTTAATAAAAAACTGACTAGATGCTTTTGTTCACAATATATATGCTTAGTGGACTTTTCACCTTCTTTTATCTGCTTAGGTAACGATAAATATAGTTTTTAAAAACACATCTTACTGACAGCCCCTTTTCAGATTCCTGCGCAAAAATATGTAAAAAGCTTGATTAAATTTGTTCTTTTGCTTGGTTTGAGGATAAAACGTGTGGTTTCTCTTGCAAACAGGCTTTAACCAACACCAGCTACTTCCAGTACGTTTGGAGTTTGACTAGGATAAAAAGCGCCACAGCGAAAGGTATTGATACACTGTCGTAGTGTTGTAAGCTCCTTTCTGCAATTAGCCTAGTGTCTAATTTACTTCAGCAAACCAAAGCAAGTCATTGACCTGCTGCATAAAACATGAACGACGCGTCAAAGCTGCCCTTTCTGGTGGCCAAATATGATGCTCGATGTCAGTGCTCTGGTTTGGGCACTCAAATACTGAACCGCGTTACGTGAGGTAGACCAAAAATGAAAATAATGTCACACGTGAAAAGATGAACAGAAGAATTCATTCCCCTCTCTTCCTCTGGGGAGCTCCCTCAGGCTTTGGAGTCCTCCTGCACGCAGAGCTGGGAAATGGTCTTCTTCACCCGCAGGGCGGTGAGGCGCGCGGCGCCGTTGGCGTACCAGCACTCCCGCATTATCCTGCCCATCACCCGCAGCGCCTGCAGACCACGAATTAAAAGAGCAGCTCAAGAACAAACCCCTCACCTCCCGCTCTGCGTTTTTCAAGTGCAATACCCGAAGACAAAATATAGCTCTCTGAACTGGCAATGCAACAGCAGTATCATAAATTAAGAGCTGTATTCCAGAGAGTTCAGCATTTGCTGCAAATACAGTTTTCTCTGCATCGATCTGGGCGCGAAAATAGAGCTATACAGCTGAAACTCCCTGAAATTCAGGAGAGGCTGGACATCGAGCTCCCTTCGCCCCTCTGAAAAATTCTATCTTAATTTAAATACGCTTTGTAATACACTGGAAAAAACTGCTTTTACCTCACAGCTTTGCCACTGGTTTGGAATATTTGGTCTGAGCTTCTGCTCACAAACTACCCTTCTCATATCTTCTATCGAAGGATCGGAAGGCACAACATCATAGTAAGGCAACTGGTATTCCTCAGTGATTCCTAGGAAAGATTTCTCGTGTAGGTAACACAAAATCCAAAGCAGTTGCTCCAGAATCAACTCCAATTGTTTTTACAGGCAATGAGAGAGAACAGAGGAACATTTGGGGCCACCTTGAACACACCTTGGCTCCACAACAGACTTCTACAGCCACATACTGCCAAGATAACCGGGAGAGCGGGGCAGGGACACCGACCCGTTCATTGATTTTGTTTTATCTAAGATAAAGGCGGTCTGCACTGCGAAGTGAAAAGGCCAGAAACCTCACCTCCAACGCAGCACCTTCGGGCTATCTCCCAGTACACCAGCCCCAGAGAGTATATGTCCGCACGCTTGAAGGACTCGAAGATGTTCATGTTCATCACGTCATCAAGTATCTCAGGAGCCATATACCTTTAAAGGAGACAAAGGTCACTTTGCCAGAGGGACTTTGTACAAAGACCACTGCCACACTGCTGTGTGCCGGGGCCAGGTCCCAGCTGGTCCCACCGGGAAAAAGAGAAAGGCTCCTTTGGACAGCGATTCCAAGCAAAACCAAGAGAGTTGGCCAGGGGGACGGATGCAACGCTGTGGCTGCCCACACCCACAGCCATCGCCGTGACTCCTCACGATGACCCGACTGCACCACGGGGCTGACCAACACACAGTTGCCACTGTTGGGGTGCTGGGGTGGCCAGCACTGGTGCTCGGCAGTGGCCACAAGGTGAGGGGAAGCCACGGGTGGGGAAAGGGCCGTGAGAAGCCATCCCCGTGGGGAGCCGGGCAGGCAGCGTGCCCTCACCCACCTCCTGGTGCCCACCCGGGGGTTCTGGGGAATGTCGATGGTGTTCAGCACCGAGTCGTGCTTCACCGCCAGGCCCAGGTCCGCGATGGCACAGCTCTCGTTCCTCTTCACCAGGATGTTTTTGGATTTCAGGTCGCGGTGTGCGATCGCTGGCTTGCCTGTTCGCAGAAAGAGAACGAGCCGTCAATTTTGATAACAGCAGTATGAATTTTAATATAACGAGCAAGGAAGCAAACCCAGTTGTATTCGGCTTTGTCACTAAACCCCATAAAAAACATTAAAGCCTATTTTGTACTAAGAACAGCTCTACTAAATGCCATCAAATTAAAAAAAAAAAACAACAAAAAACCTTGAGGGCACTTTCGTTCCAGTATCTGTTTTTCAGGAATAAAACACAAAACGAGAAACTGTATGTTCACCCTCCAAATTAATTTAGAAAATCCTTCATTAGCGCTCCCCTTTGGCAGAGCTGCTCCCACAGACGTCCAAATGAAGACACAGAAGTAGGGGTCGACAGTGGACGTGGGAAGATGATATTCCTGTTCTCTGTTCATATTGTATCACACAGTGTTATGCCAATACCGTTTCTCACAGTACAACGGTGTAAAATGCTTTATGACACCACGTCACCCATAAACGTCTTTGCAAACACCGCCGAAGCCCCTCCAAACACCGGACGGACGAGGGGAAGGGGAGCGCTTGCCTTGCGTGCCCACGATCTCCATGTGGAGGTGTGCCAGGCCGCTGGCCACCGACAGCGCCAGCTTCACCATGCCCTCCACCGTCACCGTCCCCCTGTTCAGGTAGTCGAACAGCGACCCTTGCTCGTGGTACTCGGAGACGAGCCACAGCTGCGTCCACGTCCCGTTATCTACCCGGAGGAAGCAAAATTATGCAGATTTATGAAAAAAATCAGCCAGGGAGGGCGTTCCCCGTTTTGGGGCCGGCTCGGGCACGCCAACGAAGACGTTTGCCGGCTGCCCCACAGGGATGGAGCTCAGGGCGGCTGTGAGGTTCACAGCGGTACTTCAGGTGGGAGCGGGGACAGCGAATGCGACTGTGGGCCGGACACCCCGCACCCCACAGGCGGCTCGTGGCGTACCCTTGTTATCTGCAGCAATGAAGCCCAGGATGTTTTCGTGCCTCAGCATAACCGTCTGGTAAATTTCCGCCTCCCGAAACCAGGACCGTTCGTCTCTGGAGGAGGAGATTTTCA